GCTTGAGCCCAGGAGTTTGAGGTTGCTGTGAGCTAGGCTGAGGCCACAGCACTCGCCCCAGGCAAGAGAGTGAGACTCTGTTTCAAAAAAAAAAAAAAAAAAATTTGGATTTATGAATAGAAAATCCTTACTACCATAATGATAATAGTAATAGAAAATTAAGAGCTACAAAATGATAAGATACACAAAGAGAGTTAATAACCAAAATAATAAACTTAGACCATCTCTTTAATAACAAAATACTGGACTGACAAAGTAAATAGTTTAGTAAGCCAACCGCTATTTTGTCTTTATGTTAAACAACTGCTTTCACTGGATTTTTTTTAATAAAGCAAAACTAATAACAAAAGTTTCTCAGAGAAATGAAAACATATGTTCACAACAAATTTGTGCACATTCACAGCATTTTTCATAGTAGCCAAAATGCGAAAACATCCCAAATATCCATCAACGGATGAATGGATAAATAAAATGTGGTGTATCCATATGATGAAATATTATTTGACAATAAAAAGAAATAAATTACTGATATAGCACAGACAGACCTTGAAAACAATCTAAGTGAAAGAAGCCAGACTACATATTATATGATTCCATTTATATGAAATGCCCAGAATGGGCAAATCTATAGGCACATAAAGTAGTAGATTAGCAGTTTCCTAGGGCTGGAGAGGGGTGTCTGTGTGTAGGGGGATGGAAGGCATGAAGGAGGTTAAAGGGTTTCTGCTAAAGAGTTTCTTCTTAGGGTGATGAAAATGTTCTAAAATTTATTATAGTGATAGCTGCAGAACTGTGAATATAGCTATTGAACTGTACACTTTAATTGGCTGAATTGCATGGTATGTGAATTATACCTCAATGAAGCCGTTACCCAAAAAAAGTCCTTTCGGTAATTTAGAATCATTTATATATAGTTTCAATGTTTTTAGTTTATTGTCAGCTCAAACAGGGGTTAACAAAACAATGGTCACTCTGGGCTGAGAGCAAGTGATGAAATAATCTGCAATTCCTACAAAATTAATGTCAAAGATGGCAGCTAGTCTCCCTTAGGTATGTGCTACATAATAACTTAACTACACTGTAACTATTTCTCTGATGGAAAACTTACAGAGCTAATTAAATTTCAAGAAATGATACTATAGAGGAAACATTTCACAACTGCTCTAACTTTTAAGGTGATAAAATACACTGTTCTATTCTATACTTTAATAATGATAACTTTTTAATTTTGGGTTAAATTTAAAATTGCATTTGAATGTTCTTCAGAGGGCAATTGAAGCTATAAATAATCTACATATACACACCAATTTGTATAATAGTAAGTCTTACTATTATTGTATAATAGTAAGACAATAAATGGATACACAAATTACTAAATATTAATGTAAAAGTTTTTCTTTTTTCTTAAGAAACTGTAACCCAAATATTAAGTAAAAGAAATTCATATAAGAAACAGATTAAGCACCGCACTTTGGGAGGCCAAAGCAGGAGGATAGCTTGAGGCCAGGAGTTCAAGACCAGCCTGAGCAATATAGTAAGATCTCATCTCTACAAAAAAAAAAACAAAAACAAAACCCTGGGCATGGTAGCACATGCCTATAGTCCCAACTACTCAAGAGGCTGAGGCAAGAGGTTTGCTTGGGCCCAGGAGTTTGAGGTTGCAGTGAGCTATGGTCACACCACTGCACTATAGCCTGGATGACAGAGCAAGACCCTGCCTCTTAAAAAAAAAAAGAAAAAAAGAAACAGTTAAATGAGAAGTATTTCCATCAACATTTGAAATTTTAGCTAGAAAAGAGAAAATATTTGAATGTTACTTTATCTCACACTAGATTTACAGAAACAGAAATGAAGTTTTACTTGCCTTAGTGGGAGAGGTGAAGAAACAGGCTGACTGAGAATCAGACTATCATGTGGTGATAACTGGAAGAAGATTTAAAATAAAGTATTTGAAACATAAAGATGAACTTTAAAATACCACTTTCTGTTAAAAATATATAAAATAATGATGATGCCAATGAGTTTCACTATATCCATTTACCAACATAGGAACAGTCTATATCATTTTACGAAGATCCTGAAAAATATGTCTTGATCCCTTCCAGCCTCTAACTCTTCTTACTATGAATCCCGTATCTCTTTTCTTCTGTCTGCAACTGTTTCCCGGATGCCATCTTAACCAATTCACATTGAAAGACTAAATTATTCGTTAAATACCATAAAACCTGGGTCTGCAAATGTATGGCCTACAGGGCAAATCCACAGCTGCCTATTTTCGTAAATAAAGTTTTACTGAAATATAGTCATGCTCATTCTTTACATATTATCTAGCTGCTCTTGTGCTGTAACAGCAGAGTTCAGTAGGTGCAACAGAGATCAGATGGCCTGCAAAGACTAAAATATTTAGTATATGGTCCGTAACAGAAAAAGTTTGCAAACTTCTACTGTGAAATAAATCTTTTGTGTGTATTCAAACTGAGTGTACTATATATATTCTGGCACTAAATACCAGAAAATAAGACAGGAATGACATGTGAATATTCACACTGACTATAAAGCTCACCAAAATGGTATTTTTCTAGACATTTTTTGGTACCGTTTAATAATGCAATTAATTTATCTACATTTTCAAATTTATGCACACACTTTTCCTTACATCTATTCTAAAACATTTAGTGTAATAAAGGATTGCCAAAGGCACAAACTTTCAAACAACTATATAAAATTTGGGGGAAAAAGTCCCTTTCTCTGTGTTTAAAATGTTTACTTCTTTAACTCTTCAACTTTTTCTCTAAGGGAAAAACATTAGATGTCTCAGAGGCAGTTAATAAAACATTAAGGACCCAGACTTCAACATGAAGTAACATTTTGGGTCTCTTTAGGTCTCATTTGCTTTTTCCCCCCATTCAAAATTGTTATTCTCATGTTACCTTTTGACACAGACAATAATAATTCATAGGGTGCTCATATCAACCTTACCTGAACTAAAATCCGTGGTCTCTGAGGAGATGGAAAAGGAACTTTATGCATAAAATGAGAAATATGCCTTGAAAACAAACAAAAACCCAAGTGATTCCAAAGTTAATATCACATGCTACAAAAATCAACGTGTCATCACAAGTCCAAGTTGATTCAAAAGCCCTGTGTATAATTTTGAAATCTCTAATATTAACAAGTAAACAAACAACCAAAAATCATTTTTCCCATTAAAGTTACTTCTGCCTCAATCTAGTACCTTTTCACATTAACAGTTGTTCACATTCAACAATGTTTGTGTTACCATTGTCTCAAAAGTGATTTTACCTTCTACCTCTCCCTAAGTAGATGATATACAATGTATCGGTGATGTGCACATTACCAAAGAAGCTAATTCTCACATTTATAATTTTTTTTTAAGTTAGTTGCTCACATTTTGGGGAAGCAAAACAACCACTTAAGGTACTCCAGAAAATATGAAAGCATTTAATTGCTTCTAAAAGATGAACAATATATTTGCTATTAACAATAGGTTAGAACTTCTATTACTGGGCTGGGTACAGTGGATCACTTGAGGCCAGGAGTTCCAGACCAGCCTGGGCAACATAAGGAGACTCCATCTTCACAAAAATTAAAAAAAAAAAATTTTTCTGGGTGTGGTGGCACATGCCTGTAGTCTCAGTTACTCAGGAGGCTGAGGCAGGAAGATTGCTTGAGCCCAGCAGTTTGAGGTTACATGAGCAACCACTGCACTCCAGTCTGGGTGACAGAGGAAGACCCTAACTCAAAAAAAAAAAAAAATGCTATTACTGATTTTGTAAGTTTTTTCCCAAAATAAAATGGATAAAAAGCTAAATTGATGGGTTTTGTTTTAAACACTATGGAATAAGAAAAAGGCAAAAACTTTTTTATAACCTACTTTATTTTGGAATTATTTTTCTTTTAAACATTTCAAAATCATCTTAGTTTCAGAACTGAGATAATTTCAACTGGATAGAGAAAAGACTAGAAGAGAAATTTATTAATTTAAAAATATGTTTTGACTGTTTACTATGTATAAGATGCCACCAGACATGATGGGAAATATAAAAAAGGAATATAGCTACCAGTCTCTACCATTAAGGTACTCATAACCTAAAAAAATGGGGGAGATGAATACCACAGGACACATATCTACTTGAATTATAGATAGAACAGTGGAAACCAAATGTGATCCATAAACCCCTAAAGACCTTCAAGAGCCATTCAGGAAGGATGTGTAAGTTCAAAACTACTTTTATAATAATACAAAGACATCATTTGCTTTTTTCACAGTGTTGATATTTGCACTGATGATGCAAAAGCACTCTGGGCAAAACTGCTGGCACCTTACTATGAACCAAGGAAGTAGCACCAAATTGTACCAGTAGTAGTTGTATTCTTTACTATTATACACTGCAGTAAAAGAATGTCAATTTCACTGAAGAATGTGCTTGACAAAACAGTAAATACTACCAATTTTATTAAATTTTGACTCTGCAGTGTACATTTAAAAAATATTCTATGTGATAAGGGGAAGTATGCATAAAGCACTTCTGTTGTATATAGAAGTACAACGGTTGTCTTGATTTTGGAAAAACACTTGTGTAACTGAGATGTGAGGGAATGTGCAGATTTTTTTTTTCACAGAGTGCTGTGAAAAAAATTCACAGCACTGACAAATTAAGGTTTTCCAATATTGAGTATTCAACAGATATTTTCTATATGAAATGAACAAAGTAAGCCTACTGCTCTGAGGAAAATAACTGGCAGTACTTGTTGCCAACAATTAAATTCAAACTTTCAAGTGAAAATTAGAATTTTGCCACCATGAGCTTAATATTCAAAAACTTTTCTGATAAGATAGGTACTGATATTAACAAATATAATTTTATATTGTAATGAAATGTGTCTACATTTGGAAGATGTACGTAACTCAGTGAACCAATATTTTCGAAATGACTAATGCACAATGCTATAAAATCATAAGTAAAAGTTCCACTCCAAGAGTAAAACAAATCAATACATTTTAATGTAACAGACAAAATTCATTGCTAAATTTCCAGATTCCACATTGCAAATAACTTATAAGAAACTACCACTTGTCAAGCTTTATATGATGTCAAAAAAAGAATATCCATAATTTTCTGAAAAGACTATACAAAATCCTTCACTTTCACACTTACATATCTGTGTGAGGCCAGATTTTCTTCATATACTTCAACCAAAACAACTACTGCAACAGATTGAATGAAGAACCATATATGGAACCCAGATATGTTCAATTAAACCAGGCATTAGAGATTTGCAAAAATATAAAACAATTAGTGTGCAGTGAGATGGATTTTCAAAAGAAAAAAAGTAATACAATGCCACTCTTTTCACTAAATTTTTTGTTTTGGGTAACAGTTATGGCCAGGAGCAGTAGTTCATGCCTGTAATCGTAGCACTCTGGGAGTGCCAAGGTGGGAGGATTGCTTGAAGTCAGGAGTTTGAGACCAGCCTGAGCAAGAGCAAGACCCCCGTCTCTACTAAAAATAGAAAAATTAGCATGTAATCTGTGCATGCGCCTGTAATCTGAGCTACTTGGGAGGCTGAGGCAGGAGAATCACTTGAGCCCAGGAATCTGAGGTTGCTGTGAGCTAGGCAGACGCCATGGTACTCCGTCTCAAAAAAAAAAAAGAAAAACAAAAAAATGGAAACAGTTATTTCTCAAAAAAAAAATTTTTGTTATAACATGAAATAGGTTTATTGTTTTAAAACTGAATTGGTCCTGCAATTCCCTTATTGGGTATACAGCCAGAGAAAATGAAATCAGTATGTCAAAGAGATATCTGCACTCCCACACTTATTACAGTACTATTCACAATAGCCAAGATATGAAGTCAACCTAAATGCCCATCTACAAATGAATGGATAAAGAAAATATGGTACATATATACAATGGAATGCTATTCAGCCATAAAATAATAAAATCCTGTCATTTGTGGCAACATGGATGAACTGGAGGGCATTATGTTAAGTGAAATAATATGCCAGGTATAGAAAGACAAACACCACATGATCTCAATCATATGTAAAATCTAAAACTGTTAACTTCCTAGAAATAGAAAGTAGAATAGTGGTTACCACAGACTGGGGGAAGAGGGTGGACTGTGAGAGGTTGGTCAGTGGGTACAAATTTACAGTTAGGAAGAATAAATTCTGGTGTTTTATTGCACAGTTGGATGACTATAGCAAACAACAATTTAGGGTATATTCCAAGATGGCTAGAAGAAAAGATTTTGAATGTCATTACCACAAAAAAAGATAAATGTTTAAAGTGAGGGATATGGTAATTACATTGCTTTGATCATTCTACAATGTATACATGCACTGAAATAAACATGCTGTAACCCTATATGCTATGTATACTGTACTGTAATAATTTCTATTAAAGTAAATAATAATAAATATAACACACAAAGAAAAGCTCTTTGGGGTCCTCATTTTTTAAGCGGAGTTCTGAGATCAACAAATTTGAGCACTGCTGGATTAGAATACTGAGATGAGAGTAGAAAAAAACAAAGAAAAATTAAAGAGTAATATTATACGCTACATGCTCTTCTGATGATAATTCTATCACTTCCCCAATTGTCATTAAAGTCAGAAAATTCTGCCTAAGGACACAAAAGCACTTAAGTAATAAGTAGTATAAAATAAACAACAGTCAAATAGACAATGAAGATATTTATATCTCGTTTGCATCAGGTCTTACTGCATGAAACACTATTTTAGTGATCTTAAACTAAATCACTAAAATTTAAAAAAAGAAAAAGGCATGTATTCACATAATTTTTCCTTTAAATTCATGATATCTAAAAATAGTAAGGAGTATTTTTAAAGGTTCAGAATAAAATTATATGTAAAATAAGAATTACAAAATTAGTAAAAAAGTTCCACTATTTTTTCCGGATTAGGATTTCTAAACTTTGTAAGAACATTAAAAAATGAAACATTTATTTCATTATGTTAGAGTTAAAAATTATTTAAAATAACAAGATTGTAAAAGTATAATGAAGGAGTATTACCTGACTGAAATAAACAAACTCTTTTTTTCAAATAACTCTTTAGAAATTCAGGTTCCAAATAAAATTTACTCAGTTACCCCACAAATTTACCACATAATGGAAAGATCTGCCAAATTTTGAACCAAGATTTCTAACTTACTTCTCAATTGGAAGGACATGAGGTCCAGAGATGGAATAACGATACAAAAAAGTCAGAAACTTCCTGAATGCATCAAAAAAAGGCCAGTGAGAAAGAAGACAGATGCATTTGCTAGTGTGAATTGTTTTGGAACTATCAGACTTCCCATCTGCTGATGACGTTAAACCCAAAAGAAGTCTCTGTTTTTCTGTGAGATTCTCTTCAGAGTATGGTTCATAAAACTGAATAGCAGCACCATAGACCTACAAAATAAGCAATATATTTAGTAAATACATTATGTATCATTAATCCAAATGACATCATTAGTTAAATATTTAATGGATGTTTGCTATGAGCCAGGTGAGGTACCAGGTATTAGAAACACAATAGTGAATAAACCTTCTTCTTGCTTTCTAGATATATATAAGAACTATATAGTGCTATTCTCATGTCTCCT